GATCTAGCAGCAGCAGCAGCAGCAGCAGCAGCAGCAGCAGCAGCAGCAGCAGCAGCAGCAGCAGCAGCAGCAGCAGCAGCAGCAGGAGTAGTAGTAGTAGTAGTAGTAGTAGTAGTAGTAGGGGTAGGAGTGGGCGGAGTACGAGGAGTAGGAGAAGGAGTAGGAGTAGGAGTAGAGGAGGCGTTGTAGGAGCAAGCAGAGGGAAGAATAGCATGTGCAACATGTGTCTCACTAGTATAGACACTGTTACTGGTGATCAGATCACGGTGCAGCTGGGTATACTCTCGACATGTTCCTGCCCACATACTGTTTGTAGCCACATCGTATCATGACACCTCGTGAGCAGTTTTGCATCAGACCGAACTGTTTGCCACTGATGCGGATTTTGCTAACAAAGGGGCAACGGGGGTCGAAGGTGACCACCTGCCCACGCTACAGCGAGGTGAAGAAAGGATGATGCATTCGGTCATGCATGATTTCGCGCGCACACCGCTCTTCGAGAGCAAACCCTAAACGTATGGAGGGCTAGTGGGAACCGGTGTGTTGCAGTGCTCGCTCGTTGCCGTTTGTGGTCCTTCGCAGCTCAGACTGATGGCTAGTACTTCAGCGTGCAAATCGAACAGCACCCGAGCCATGCGAGCCACTGTCGGATTGATAACCCAACCCCACCAACCCTGACTCTTGGCATCCCTTGCAACACTCGTTGTAATTACTCCAATTCTTGTCAATGTCCGTACCTCCCTGCACCCGTACACCCTAGACTCCTAGACCCGAACGCCAGAAAAGTCGCCCACTGCTCCTCTCCCCCTCACGCCAAAGTCGCGCGGGAGACCCGAAAGCCATGGTGGGAGGCCTCTCCTTAAGGCCCAGTGTAGAGCTCGAAGCGATCTACGAAAGTTACGATACGGATGCTATCAAGTTTTAGGGTTCCCAGGCCTACACCCCAGATCTCCACACGAAGAGCCCTACGACCCTGTACTCTCAACAGCAAAACCTGAAATTACCCGTCTGTCTGCTGCGGCAGCATCCGTCTAGCCGAGTGCATAAGAATCTACGGTCTGGTCCAGAGCATCCGTTTCGGAACCAAGACTCTGTTACTGCACTTGCTGGTTGGAGATCACAAGGTGTGGCACTCGCCACGCAATGTAGGTCGTGCTCGTACCATCCTGGTGGCAAACATCTTGGGAAGCTCGGTGGCCATGGGCTTGCATTCCTGTGATGGCCTGCAGTTGCACCGACAACCCATGGTGGCTCCGGCTATTGTCAGCCAGAGTCTCAGGAGGCGTTTTTCGGGCAAGACGCAGCGTTGCATTGCGTGGCTCATATCGAGAAGTAAGCCCCTTCTGCAACCCTGAACCCTCAACCGTAAATGATAGACAACCTGTGTTCCATCATGGCCGATAGCCGCCCATTCCTGCACCTGAAAACCATCTTCGAACCCTGAGTCGCTGAACCCTGATCCTCAGAAGTGCCACATCGAGCTCTGAAGCCCAGCCCATATGGTACCCGTGCAGCCCCAAACACCCCTCAGGTCATTGTTTGCACTCTGGGAGGGATGACGTGCGCAGCCAAGCTGCCGGTGTGACACCGTGGGCGTTCCGACCATGGGCAGCTCTTAGAGTATGAAGGCGGAGGGGATAAGGGTAGGCTACATTGTACCATACCGCGAGCCAAGAGGATGCTATGCTGTGCCATGCTATGATGTGCCGTGCTGTGCTCTGCACTGCACTGTCCTGCTCTGTTGTGCCTTTGGTGCTCCTTAGGGTTCGTTGAGGATTTAGGGAATCACGGCCAAAGTGTACTGCCACCTGCTGAGTGGGGCGAGCTACCTGAACTTTATTACCTTGGAGGGTTACGACGTCGTTGAGGACCTGCCGCGGCCTCAGAGCTGGATACAGAGACAATGTAAATCAGTCTGAGTCGCAGCTGCTCCCGTACTGCGTAACCGTTGTAGCGATGAGTTGTGCGCTCCTTGCTAGCCAGGCAGCAGAATCAGCAGAAGACCGCCGAGGAGAATTTGGCTGGCCACCACATGAGGTCAAGCCCATGTTTATCCGGAAACTGTGGAGGCTTGCGGCATGTCGGCTGTTTCATGTCTGCTTCTTGCTTGCTGGGAACTTTGTCAGCCTCAGGCCAAGACTTGCATTCTCATTGCCATTCAGCTGCAAAGCAGCACCCCTACATCCAGAAGCCCTCAGCGTTAAGCAATGCAAGTATAGCTGCTAGTAGCTGCTAGGAATCTCGTGGTTTTTTAGCAGAAGCTCCACCTGATTCCGTGAAGTGCCCCGAAGCCATGCCCGGCCTCAGCCTGCCCCTGGGGGCCGTGAGGCCCGGAGCCTCGAAGAGCCCGCAGGCCACTCCGCCCGCCAGCCCCGCTCGCAGCCTCCCGGGCACTCTGCTGCCCTTGACGGGCCTTAGGGGCAGCTCCCCGGGCGTGAGCCCCTCCAAAGGCGAGCCCCTCCCTAGCCCCCCGAAGTCTCCCCAGCCGACCCCCAGCTTCGACCTGAAAGCCTTGATCCCGGATCACCTGGACGAAGACATCTTCGCAAGGCGATCTGGGGAAAAAATCCCCAAAGAAATTGGCGTAGACTTGGCTGTTCGTAGCGGCCCGACCTGAAGACGGCGTCTGCTTAGGTGCTTCTTGGGCCCCTCAACCCTGAACCCACTTCAAACCCAAATCCCACATCCCAAACCCTGAAGCCCCACAGCCCCACAGCCCCAAAAGGTACGACTTCGATGACAAGGAGCTCGGCGTCGGGGGCTTCGGAAGCGTCTACTTGGCCAAGGACCGTAAGATGGCCGACCGCCAGGTGGCCATCAAAAAGGCCGCGACTGGGCCCTGGCTGGTTTAGGGGTTTAGGGTTTATAGGAAGCTTGTGAAGAGTGGTTGTTGGTTTCATAAGGGTCTGTATGGTTTGCAGGGTTAAGGAATTTACGGGACCTGTTGCAGTTAGCATGGTTTCCTTAAAATGACATCTTAAGGTAACACAATAGCTTCCTTGACAAGAGCCCAGGTGATGCTTGACGGGGATATGAGGCAGAACTTCCAGCAAGAAGTGAGGATCATGAAGGACTTGGGACTAAAGTGTGTTGTGCTAGACTTGGCTGCAACAGACGCGGGCCGCCGCTGTACCACCAGCCGTTCTCGCAGCCTAGTGGACGGCCATGGAGTCCTGTTTGATTCTCTATATCTTGCATGATGCTGTAAAGAGGAGTTGGACCACCCCAACATCTGCCGGGTGTACGAAAGCTACGACCACGGCCGCCACGTGTTCTTCGTGATGGAGTATTGTGCCGGCGGCGATTTGTTCGACCGCATTTTAAGGCAAGTCTTGGGAGTTGACCCAAACTCGACAAGTTGCGGGGGCTGAGCTATATCGGGCAGTGAGGATCAAATTCATGTGGCACCGCTATAGATCTGCAAACTCTAAACCTCAAACCCGTAAACCCTGAACTCACACACCCTAGACGTCATAATCTAGACTGCAGAAAGCCTTAAACATAAGAATCAGAATAGAAGGGCCCAAATGAGGCATTCTTAGAAGTATTTAGGGGTCCTCATTGTCAGAATCCTCGTGTGTGGGGCTCTCATACTAGGGTTATAAGGGACCCTGTTCCAGTGAGGGGGTCGCAGCAAGTCAACACCGCACACGTCTTGGCAGAAAGCCTGAAGCAGCAAAGCTAAACCCCAAAACCCCAAACCCCAAACTCTAAACCCTATATAAACCCTAAAACCCTAAACCCTAAAACTCTAAACCCTAAAACCCTAAACCCTAAAACCCTAAACCCTAAAACCCTAAACCCTCAACCCTATTTCTTGAACCCAAACCCTGAGCCTTGCACACACACAAAACCCCTGTAGAAGTGACCATGCAGGCAGGGGGGCATCTCTGAAGCAGAAGCTGCGGAGATCCTGCGCCAAGTTGCGGGGGCACTGAAGCAACTCGGCCGACTCGTGAGAGGCTACCCAAAAGCTGGTTTTAGCCGTACTCTCCTGCATATAGAAATCCTTATGGCAACTTATAGAACCCTCTACATATACATATATACACGCATAGATACAGATATAGACAGAGATACAAAGAGATAGAGCAGAGAGATAGATAGACAGATAGGTCCCTAAACCCTACACCCTCAACCTCAAACCCAAAACCTTAAACCCTAAACCCCTAAACCCCAAACTTAAGCCCTAAACCCAAAACCTGAAACCCTAAACCTCCTACGCCCAAAACCCTAAACCCCTAAACCCCTAAACCCCTAAACCCCTAAGCCCTAAACCCGTAAGCCCCTTTAAAACCCCTCTAAAACCCCTTTAAAACCCCCATTAAAACCATTTAAAAACCCCTTAAACCCCTAAACCCCTAAACTCAAAACCCACAGAACCCCCTAAACCCCTAAACCCCTTCTAAACCCCTCAAGTCAAAACCCTTAAACCCCTAAACCCCTAACCTCAAAACCCCCTAGACCCCCCTAAACCCCTAAGCCCTAAACCCCTAAACTCAAAACCCCTTTTAAAACCCTAAGCCCCTAAACCCTAAACCCCTACACCCGACACACCCCTAAACCCCTTTTAAGCCCCTAATCCCAAAACCCACAACCGTAAACCCCTAAACCCCTATACGCCCCAGAAAAGGCACGCCCACGAGAAGGGGGTCGCTCACCGGGACCTGAAGCCGGAGAACGTCTGCTTCTGCTCCGAGGCGCCCCCGGTGGCCTTGGGGGGGTCTTTAGGGGTTTGAAGAGAGGGGGTTCAGGGTTTACATAGGGGTTTGGGGTTTAGGGGTTTAAGGGTTTAGGGGTTTAGGGGTCTAGGGGTTCTGAGTTTTGGAGGTTTTGGGTTTAAGGGTTTAGGTAGGGTTTAGGGTTCAAAAGGGGGTTTAGGGGTTTAAAGGTTTAGGGGTTTAGGGGGGTCTAGGGGTTTTGAGTTTAGGTGTTTAGGGGCTTAAGAGGGGTTTAGGGTTTAGGGGTTTTAAAGGGGTTTAGGGTTTAGGGGTTTAGGGGTTTTAGAGGGGGTTTAGGGTTTAGGGGTTTAGGGTGTAGGTTTTTGGGGGGTTGCTTGCAAGGTTCCTGTGAGGGGTCTTTGAGGGTTCACAGAAGGGCTTTATGCGAGGGATTATGAGGGCGTAGTATAGAGGTCTGAAGATTTAGTACGACTATATTCTTTTCCTAAACCCTAAACCCTAAACCCTAAACCCTAAACCCTAAACCCTAAACCGCCCCCTTTTCGGATTCAGGCTTTGGGGTTCCACGGTTTCCTCTGTGAAGTCCTCAGCTGTCCTGAACTGGTCTTAATGGCTTTGTTTTTTTGGGTGGTGGTGGAGGCGAACTGGGGATTTGTTTGGGGATTTGTTCCGGGGTTAACGGTTGGAGTTTAGGATTTAGGATGGCTTGGGCCAGCAGTTCCAGACGCTACAGTACTGTCTGATCCCTGAAACCAGAAAGAAACGCAACACAAGACTTGCAAGGACCCCATGTGAACGTTAGGCCGTTAGGCCCAGAAGAAGCCTGAAAAGTCACCCTACTCGGATCCCTAGGACCAAAACTCTGGACCCAATAAATATCAGTGCATATATATCTATATATATATATATATATATATATATGTATGGCCCCCCCCCCAAGATCCACACCCTCTCCGTTCCAGTCTCTCACACATAACCAGACGTCTTGAAACTACCTCCTGCATGTGCAGAAAGTGCTGTAAATACCAGTGCAAACGGCTTCTCTGTAAAGCAGCTTCTTTGCTCATCGCATGTTTTACAAACTCTTCACGTCGAACAGTTTGCGCACCAGGATTTGGTTCCGAAAGGCAATAACGTGTAGAAGCAACTAGAAACGAAGAGATGCCACATTACTTGCATTGTTAAGAAACGAATGTTTGATAAACAACAGTGCCGTATAATGCTATTGAAATCCTAAAGTCCTGCAGTATTGTACTGTCACTACAACTTTGGTTTGTATATATATATATACATACACACACACACATTTACATACACACACGCACGCACACACACACACACACATACACATACATATATATATATATACACACATGTATACATACATACATACATACATACATACATACATACATACATACATCCACACATCCATACATCCATACATCCATACATCCATATATCCGTACATCCACACATCCGTACATACATACATACATACATACATACATACATACATACATACATACATACATACATACGTATATATGTGTATATATATATACATACACATAGGTCTATATGTATGGAACCCTAAAGCCCTGAACTCGAAGCCCCAAGCATCGTACGCGCGCAGGACATGCAGGATACGCGCGTGAAGGTCATTGACTGGGGCCTGGGCTTCTACTTCAGGCGCTCTCAATCTAAGGGCTTTAGGAGGGACCCTTAATAGGGACCCTTGTAGGTTATTGGGGTTCATTGTGGAGACTACCTGGCTATATCAGGGGTATATAAGGACTATACAATGGTTATTTAAGGTAATGGGATTAAGGGTCCCTATTAGGGGTCCCTCCTGAAGTCCTTAGATTCAAGGGAAGCCATGAACGCCGCAAGCCTTAGGCCCTGAGCCCCAAACCCTGCGCGCTCAGGGTCTCGGGTATTCATAACATTGGGGTGTTGATGATCACCGGATACGGTTTAGGGTAGTTCGGGTAGACCTTGAGCCTGAAACTCCACACCTAAGACCTGGAAATCCCATGTCCGAAACGCAGAACCCTATACTGCACGACTATACCCCAAAGACGAGGCGCTCCCGGATGAACACGGCGGTCGGAAGTGGTGCCTATGCCGCCCCAGAAGTCCAACGCCCGGTTGGAGGTCGATCCGGGCAGTTTGCTAGTGCAACAGTAGGGGAGCAGGGGTTGGGGCTCAGAGTTTAGCTGCAGAAAGATGGACGATAGCAGCTCCTATCATTGCTGTCTCTTGCGATCGTTCAACGTATTGTAGCGACTATACTGCTGGTAATGATCAGCGTCATGCATCCTGTTATCCCAAGCCCTGTGCTGCGTTTCATCGTAAGCATCATAAAGGCTCCTATCATATCCATCTCACGGTCGACAGGTGGTGCCTACACCAGCGCGTGCGACCTCTGGAGTTTGGGTGCGATGGCGTGCGTCATGCTCTCAGGCCACTTTGAAAACTTGGCCCGAACCCTAAGCCCTGCACCCGAATCGAACCTTTAACCCTAAGGGTTGTTTAGTGCTGGAAATGGCCTTAATTCCGCCCAAGCCCTAGGATGTAAAGGCCAGTGCATGTGTCATGGGGCTTGAGCTTCAGGGTTCATTGGCCTGGACTACTGTTGGTCGGTTCTTATGTAATGCACGGTGAAGTGCATGAGGACATGTGTCCCACGTTACACAAGCCAAGTCGTGCAGAGAGTCCTACAAGCAGAACGACTGGGACACTGCTTCTTCCTCAGCTAGTGCTTCTGCCAGTGTTGTTAGTTTTATGACTACTGCTGCTGCTGCCGCTCCTCCTGCTGCACTACTGCGATGCGACGGGACTACTTTGGAGGAGAGCCCCCCAACTACGGCGGGAATGCTTTCGATGAGCAGCATGACTTTGCGCCGCATGGGCCAATATGGGAGAAGATGTCCTCCGACGCACGATCACTGGTCACTTCCCTGCTGCTTGGCCAGGGAGAGCCACAGAGCTCTAAAATGAACTTTGAGTCTTTTTGGGGATCTAGGGCTAAGCCCAAATCGAACCCTAAACCTTCCTCTTTTCCCTCAACCCCAAACCCCAAACCCTAAGCTAAACCCTCAAGCAGCCAACCTACACCCCTAAGCCAGAGAGCCTCTAAGCCCTGAGACAGGCTCAAGTGGGATCCGTCCCAGAGGCCGAGCGCGGACCAGGTCCTGAACCATGCGTGGTTGAGGCCTCGATTTGGGATTGAGGGCTTGGAGGGCTTGAGGTTTAGGGTTCAGGGGCCCAAAGAATTACCAAAGCTATTCTGGGGGTTTCTTATTATGATTATCGTATCATGGGCCCCAAAACCCTACTCCAAGTAATAAGGCAGGGTTCAGGGTCAAGATTATCATGGTCCTCTTGGCTGACTCTGCGGCGCCTGCTGCTGGTACTGGTAGGCCAGCAGGGCTACGATATCTACTGCTGCTTCTACTCCGACAACCATGACTGTGGGTGAGTCTTTGGTAGCCTTCTAGGATGCATGGTTTACGATCCACGGCCTTACAGTGCAGACTTTCGGTTGGGTTTTCAATCTGCAGGCTTGCAGGTTCAAGCGATCAGCTGAGATTATTGGGAACGTCACGCAGGCACTTCCAGAATCAATAGAACGTTATTATTTTCGATGCCCTCCGTAGCTGTAGCACTGTAGCTGTACCAATGTGACGTATGTATGTACATATGTGTATATATAGAGGTGTCTAAAGATATAAAGAAGTATATCATATCATTTTCCACGTATTTATTGCTTATCTGTTCCACATCCCAGTTGAGACTGGCCTCTATGTCAGGGTTCAGGGCTTAGGACATCGGTTGCGTGCGACCGATTCTTACAGCAGTTTGGTGTGTTCGCATCGACAGCGATTTTGGGCCGTGCTTTCTTCTGACTCGGCTACATCTATTTGCTGTATTTGCTTTCACCACTTGTTCCGCTTAGCGTCAGCACTACGATGATCGTTCTGCGTGCATACAGACACAAGTGCAAGTGTCTGCGTGTGTAAACTGCTGTATCTATGACATTTCTATACACACATACATGCATGCTGCATACATACATACACCTGCACGTTGGTTTACTCACGTATACATGCATGTCGGTGTTATCTTTATCCGCACGGTTCCTTGTGCCACGAAAGATGCCGGTGGTGATATATGTTGTTCTTCTTTTCAGTGTCACGGTGTTGCACTTGATTCTCACTTGATGTCGTCATGGTGATCTCATGGTCCAGTTGCGACGCAATTTCGCTCCTGCTCCTCCTCCAACTCATCACGGCCATTACCTCACCTCCAATCTCTACCCTAAACTCCAACCACGAAAGCAACGCGGAACCAGGACCTACGACGAGCAGCCCAGCATCATGAGCTCCAAGACGGAAGTCCTCAAGAACCTGCCCCTCAGCCTCCCCGAAAAGCCGAACAGCTTGGGGTTCAGGCGTTTAGGTTTCGGGGTTTAGGGCTCAGGGGGAAGGGTGTCTTCAGCACCAAACCTGCAGGACACTCGTCAAGGGCTTACCGTTTACAGAGGCTCGAACCTTCAATCCTCAACAGATCTGCAACCCTAGGCTTCAGAAGCTTTAAGACCCCGTGGAAATCTACCTGGATATCACAACCTTTACGATACCCTCTAAAAATCCCTTCAAGCAGCGGCCTGAAGCCAGGTTTTTGACCCGCCGGCACCAAAAATCCACAACATGCTGGAGTCAGGATGGTGCCCTCAGAGTAACCCTCAGAGTGAGCCTCATGCTCGTCCCGAGAGTGGTCCTTGGAGTAACCCGAAAGCTCTGAGGCGTCGATTTAGCAACAACTCCACCTTCCTCTCGCTGTGCGCTGCCTCGGTGGCCCAGCAGCTCTCCCGGCGTGGCCTAAAGGAGCTAGAGCAGGCGCGGTCTGGGCAGTTCTATAAAATTAGGTGCCGTTCTATTTTTGGGACCTGACAAGGGACCCTGATTTAGAGAACTCGACGGGTTCTAGAAGGGTGTTTATATCGGTTCCAGAAGGGTTGGTTTCACCTATAAGGGGGGATATGGCTGCTAGAAGGGTTCAAGACATGTTCTTTTCAAGGGGCTCCTGAGCCCCAAGGGTTCTATGTATACGGGTTTGCAGCTTCTATCAGGGTTCTAGAAGGGCTTTATACGGGCTCTTTCGAGGGTTCAAAGGGGCTTATGAGGGTTCTATAAGGCTTCTAGAAGGGTTGAACAAGGGATTTAGAGGTGCTCCTATATGGTTGTAGAAGGGCTTTCGAGGAGTGTCTTGAATCTGGAGGTGCCTCGTATAGGAATCCTTCCACTCGATATGGGATCCTGAAATTCCTAGAAGTTCTATGTGGTTCAGGCTTTTAGAGGGGGTTTAGGGTTTAGGGTTTAGGGTTTAGGGTTGAGGCTTCTGGGATCAGTCTGAAGGCTTCATTATCGTTTCTCTTCAGGAGGGACTCAGTGTTCTAAGTCTCCAGTGTGGACTGTGAACCCGTTGAAGCCCCTCCACCTACAGCCCATACTTGGAGGTTCATGGGTAGTTATAACTGGGGTTATAAGTAGGGTAACTATACTTATAACCCATATTAGGGGAATTATAACTCCACTTATATCTACCTATGAACCTCCAAGTACCTGACGCGGCGCCTGAGGAGCTAATCTCCCTAAACCCTAGACGCGAACAGGTTTAAACCCCCGAAAACCGCGCAGCCCCAACCACTGAACCCTATACAGTGAATCCCAGAGAGTTGGAACATGGATTTAGGATGATAAGTGCTGGGATCCACTGTACTCTACCAGATGGGCATGAGGATAATGAGGTTCCAACTTCTGGCTTCTCCTGTACCTTAAATCCGAAGCCACTTGTGTAGTTGTCAATATTATGGTCCCTTTTGGGGTACTCTAAATAAGAGGTGCCGTATTATAATAAGGACCCCAAAAGGGACCATAATTTGACAACCACCCATATGAAGGTCTTCAAGGAGCTCGACGCCAATGGCGATGGCATCCTTGAGCTGCACGAGGCCACCAGGTAGTCGATCCAAATGCTGAACGCTGCTTAGGAACCACCGGTTTGTGTTTGTTACTATTTACTTTATCCATACTATGGATCCTAGGTTGTTATTTATATTATAGGGTTAATAAGGATCCTATTATCACATGGGTTGTGATTCGTGCTGTTTATAATGTGGATCAAAGTAGGTCGGGCCTACCGAAGCCAGAGGTTGATTGTCAGCTTCCTACATTAGGTCTGTTATTCCGTACTCTGAGACTCTGTCAATGATGTCAGCCATGCCAACGATGGCGACCATGATGCTAATGGCAAGAGCACATCCACGAAAGTGCCGTTGAAGTCGTGAATGCTCGTAGTTTAAATGCATGTCCATCCGGGTTGCTGTTTCGAAGACTAGCGGCACCACCAACGTACTTCTACTTAGGGATTCAGGGACTCAGGGGATGTAATAAAGGCAAGTGCTGGCCACTATATACACAGGGTCCACTAGCCAGCTCCCATCGTTCGCGAAAGGTGCGAGCGGGATTCCAGCAAATCCTGGGCCGCGGAAGCGCGCCACGTGGCTTAGGTATGCGGTTTTCGGTGGCCTTAGAGCTTTCGGCTCAGGGTTTGGGGCTTTCGGGCTTTTCCTCGCATTTGGGGGTTTAGATGCATGTTTTCAGGTTTGCCAGACTGTCGACTTCGTGTGTTTGGGGTTTGAGGGCATCGGCATCCAGCGTTCCCGGGTCTTGGGTCTTGAGTCTTGTTATAGACTGAGTGAAACAGTGGGTTGTGACGAGACTGATAAGCCTCGACTGGTGGCGATGCTAGGAAAACTGCTCTAATCATTAATGTGTCCACATAGCAACGGGTGCAGCGTGCCCCCGCCTTTAGAGTCCACCGGCAACAACTGCCGGGACAGGAAAGGGTGATGACGACGACAATGGGCCACGAGCTCTTGCAATAATGCTTTGACACACAGAGAGCCTGTGTAGCTGTGATGCTGGAAGTTTTGTTCGCGCCTCCTTGCCCCGAACGTCCGACAGTTATTTCCACGCGACAGCATTGGGTGCAGCCGAGGCCATTGGAAGAAATCGAGGAGCTTCGACATTCACAAGTCTCTTTGCCTGAACCCTCAACCAAAACCCTTCCTGAGATTTTCATGTGAGTTCCTTGCATCAGATGCAAGTTTTCTTCAGGCTTTATGCTTGCCAGTTTCGGAAGCTTGTGTTTCAATGCTCCAGGGTTTACACTTAGAGCGTGCTAGCTTTGCAGCACGCCTGAAGTGACAGATGCAGTCGCAATGCATTTATGACTGTATCATGTATACTATGTCCTTTCATATCTACACTCTAACCTCATATAGTCATGCCCTAACCTTATAGAAGTATAATATCTTCTTATATCGCCGTACAGCCAGAACATGCCACAAGCCCTGTTCTTATCAGTACAGGAGATGTTCTCGCGCCTGGACATAGATGGGTCCGGAGCCCCTTGTAGAGCAAGGAGAGGGTTGAGGGTTTGGGGTCTGAGGTTTAGAAATTAGAGTTTAGGGTTCAGGGTTTAGGTGTTCAGGTTTAGGTGATGAGGTTTTGGGGTTTGGACTTTGAGTCTAAGGTTCAGTTGCCTGGAGGCAACCGGTTACGGTTTTGGTGCTTGAAGGTCTTGTGGGGAGGGCCTTCATGATTATAATAGGGTTGTTGATCAGACGAGGGTTCCTTTAAGGGCTTAGTATCGGGCCCTCAACGGTGAGAAGAGAGTGCTGGGGTGTATTATGCTAAGGTTGCAAGTATTTTTTGTCATGGAACCTTATCGAGAGGATTTAGGGTATGGGGTTGAGGTTTGGTGTACTAGGGAATTCGGCTGTAGGTTTGTGTTTGGTGCACCAGGGCAGAACGGTCAGTGTTAATCTGCAGAGGTATCCCGAGCCCAACCTTCAAGCCCAGACCTTAAAACCCCTAAATCCTGAGCCCGAAACGTTTGACAGTAAACCTTAATCCCTGAACCCCCCCCAAACCTTAAACCCTAAAAGCCTAAACCTTAATCCCTGAAGCCCCCCAAACCTTAAACCCTAAAGCCCTAAACCTCAATTCCCTGAAACCCCCGTTGAAGCCCGCCTGAGGCCATCGATTACACCGAGTTCTTGGCCGCTGGCATGGGCAACAGGGTCAATAGCGAGGCCAGCAGCTCGGTACCTTTTCCCCGACTTCCGCGGAGGATGAGCCAATGTCGAAGCCTAAATGATTAGTAAGAGTGACTACTTAGTCAGACTAGCCAATATAGAAGCCTAAATGACTAGCAAGACAAGCTTCTGTAACATAGAAGCATATATGATAAGTAATACGGCTTCGAATTATTATGATTGGACTAGAATGACCCGAATACCCCGTTCCAGTAGTATCAGGCCCCTTTTTTATCGACCTAAAGACAGACCGTGAAACCACAAACTCAACCTAATACCCCATTCTAGACACCATCCAGTTCTGCTGTCATCGTCCTCAAAACCCGTTTCTTCCTCAAGGCCCCCCGTAAAAGCCCTTCTGGTAACCATTCTAAATTCTTCAGAAGCCCTATTAACGCCCCATTAAAGCCTGACCCTAAACCCTAAAGGCCACTACAGTCTAAAAAAAGCCCTAAACCCTAAACCCCAAAAGCCTCAACCCTAAACCCTAAACCCGTAAAGCCCCCCAGAACCCTCGAAACGCCTGCGCAGGTGGAGGCCTTGTGGGCGGCCTTCAAGGCTTGCAAAGAGCAGGATTTGTAAGGGTTGCTGCTGAACAAGGGGGAGTTTCCAAAAATTGGGGGTCTAGGATGTTAGGGTTTAGGGTTTGGATCAGGGGTTAAGGTTCAGAAGTTCGGTTTTTGGGGTAAGGCAGGGGGCGGGTGCGCATTGCAGGACCCGAGGACTTGCAATTAGGCTACCTGCAGATTCTGTCCAAAGGCGGATGCCTTCGTGAGAACTTTGTTCGCGGCTATACAAGGTTCTCGGGCTTTTGAGGGCCATAGAAGGATCCCAGCCCTGAGTGAGCCTTTGAGATTCCAGGCTTTCGACGTGCATGAGTCGGACGGCAACATCACAGAGGCATGTTGCTCGCTCTGAGTTGGCTTCCCTTGCGTTTGCTTATCCTCGTTGCTGTTTGCACAGTGTTATGTGGTCAACTATAACCATGCCGTGTTCCTCCCGCTCATTTATGGATGCATAAGCTTGCGCAGAAGTGTTTATGTGAGTTAGCGGATGCCGCAGAGCGAATGAAGACTTTTGCAGGTGAAATGCGGCCTTGAGATTTCTCATATAGATCAGTGGAGCATGTCTACACTGAGGGCGGGCTCAGCAGGGATCGACGGCACATGCAATATTCTGTCCAGTCATCACCGTCACCTCCATTACTCACCCCGCCAGCACCATGGCAGTCGCCATCACTATCATAGTGTCATCATCATCATCATCATCATCATGACATATCATGACCGCCACCATCACCATCACCGTCGCATTTATAAGCACGACCATGAGGGTCGAGGGGTTGGGGTAAGCGTCTTGTTGATCTGCCATGTTCGCCTTTTTTTTGCAACTCTGAGTCTCTTCCACGTCGTCGCAGGCAGAGATTGCCCACGTTCTGTTCGAAGCAGGTGCCACCGGAGAGACTGCAAGCAAGTTGGTGATGCATGCTGTGCCGCACGGTTGTTGCTGTTCTTATTTCGGGCTTGCGGTATGATAGAGAAGCACGGTAATAGTACGGTCAGTACCACCTAGCATAGGAGAATGGGTCAACATAGTATATGTGGCAACGATATCGTCTAACAAAGGGTAGTGCAACATGCAACATTGTTTGAATAAGCGGGCTGTACAAGTCATAGTCTGTTTTTGACGCCTCTGATGCCCCTCGTAGAGCAGGGTCGTGAACTCTGGCAGGTGCAGGTCGCGTGTGGTCCGCGGAGAAGTGCCAGGAGCTTGCACGAGAAGTCGTGCAACAGTTCGATCGTAGCTCGGAATCGGTTTACGACTAAAGCTTCACGTCCAGGACTTATGGTTGAGGGTTTTCTGTACGGTTCAAGGTATTGATTCTTCAAGCAGCCCTGCTTTTCGCGTCGCCCGTAGACAGGACGGAAGTTGGGTCCTTGCTTGTTTGCTGATTGGTTGTGTGCCGGGGCTGCCTGCAGCTGTTTTAGCAGAGCTAAGTGCATGTTGAGTGAGAGCATTGAGAGCAAACCCTAACCCTCCACGTACCTACTATATGCGGCCCTAGGGCCCTAGGGCCTCTAGTACCCTATATAGTAGGTACCTGGGGGGTTAGGGAAAGTCTTTGAAGGATGCGGTATCTGCTACGGCACGGAGGTTGATCCCGAGAGTCTTCCGTTCCAGGGCCCAGGATGGAGTCGCGAGGGGATCCAAAAGAAACCTGTGCAGCCGATTTGAACCCTAACCCCCCAGGTACCTACTATATAGGGTACTAGAGCCCCTAGGGCCCTATATAGTAGGTACCTGGAGGGTTAGGGTGAAGATCAATGGCCACGCAACGGCTGTTGCCAGGTGATTGATCTTCAAATCGGCTGCACAGGTTTCTTTTGGATCCCCTCGCGACGCCATCTTTTGGAAGCAGCCCCTGGCGGACGAGCCCGAAAACATCCCGGTAAGTGGGTTTGTGCCACTTGAGAGATCCGCCAGAACCGGAGTGCGCTGCGAGTGATGCTCGTAAGACCCCATGATTACAGTGGTTGCTCCGAACCCACATCCTTCAACCTGATGTGGCCTAAACCCACAAGAACCTCCAAATGCGAAGCCTGAGCCGGAGTGTCCCAAGGGGATGGCAACGGCTCGCTGGATTTCGACGAGTGGCTGGAGATGATGAAACGGCTTTTTGGCTGAGATGCGCTTCCAGGGCCCTAACCAATACTATGCTGGGGGTTCCTTATTATATTTATACATAATGGGCCCCAAAACCCTATTCTAATTATTAAGGCCCCTATTATTAGCTGACAAGTCACAAAGAAAGTCCGTCTGAAATGACCCTAAACCCCATGCTCTTGAGTGATCCATGTGGCCTCATTGGTCATGTCTCTTGTTGCAGGTTTCCGACTCTCCTGACCAATCGACCACACAGATCACGGCAATATCGATCCATAGCACTACTACTGGGCCCGACAAGCAGAAGAACCATGTGCATGCAGTGACGATGATCATGGGAGTCGTCATGATGGCCGCCATCTGAATGCGCCCAGTCATCATGTGCGGAGAACGTTGCCCGGCACCCACAAATGTCATCAAAGTCGTAGGAACACCTGTTTGGATCGTCATCATTTCAACCCTCGCCGTCGCTATAGCGACGCAATGGTGATCTCTGATCTCTCATCGTCATTGTCATAATCACGGTCAGACATGTACTGCGCAAAAATGCTGCAGAGAGGGAGTCAGGGTAACACTGAACTGGTCGCTACACTTCCGGTCAGATGGTAGTGCTAGTCATGACAAGCACAGCTGCCGTCATCGTCATCATCATGGTCGTGATCAGCATCTGCATCAGTACCAGCATCATCATTGTCATCATCATCCACAACAACATCCTTTGTCACCGTGGTCATCCTCATCCCAACAATTTGGCTGCATTTTGGTTTCGACATGATTCGGTATCAGGTCAGGTGCAAATTGGATGTAGCATCGCTTTGTCGTCATGCCGCGACACAGGGCACACGTAGCGCCTTTGAACCCTAAACCCTAAAGCCTCAAATGACCCCACAGCAGGGGACCGTGTCGGAGTACACAAATACATCCGCATCAGGTGCAGTGAAGATGAGTCGCCGCGATCTCCGCGTGGAAGCAACCCTCTCTCCGGGTAAAGCCGGCCTTTATTTTATGATGGGCTTATACGTGTTCTGCAGATGGGTTTTGCAGGATATCGTGCGTTTTTTCAGTAAGGCTTGGGTCGGAGCCTACTTTAAGTAGCCGTACTAAAGCAAGCGATGCATTCACTTTACATCTGAAATGTAAAAACTTACATTGAGTTGCCTCACAAGTTGAACACCTTCAAACTCGTCAGACTGACCCACAGTGACAGTGGAGCTGAGCGAGGCACCCAATGGCTAAGGCTAAAGCATATGGGTAGTTCTCTAAATTGGGGTCCCGTTTTGGGTCCCAAAGATA